GTGCTGAAAGAATTTGACTGTGCTTACACCTTGCCATGATACTAGGAATTTTGATGATATTATAAATGGTTTATTTATTTTATTTTATTTTTAAGATATTCTCAAGTACAGATTTAGTGGAGAGGGAGGAGGTTAGACATGCATCTCAAAGGAGCAGGGCATGTGACTACAAACTACAGTGTCTGCTAACATTATTTTAATTGATATATAAATTAATATGAAAACATCTCGTATTTTGAATTTGAAAACGAAAGTATGTTTTCTACTATAATAGTAACATTGCATTTTTATTTATATATTTATTTATATACTTTGAATTAAAATGGACTCTTAGGTATAGTTAGACAATACATAACAAATTATAGAAAAAATTATATATATAATTGTATGTGTGAAAATAAGTAAATTAAAAAACATGAAATATCTAAGCCCGCAACCACACCCAAACAACACGAGGCTTGGAATCAATCCTAGATGCTTAGGTTGGAATGCAATGTTTAAGATGGAAAAAACATTTAGGAAAACATTAATTCCTGGGTTTATTATCATAAAAAAAGAAAAGAAATGAAAACACTCCACTCAACATTATGAACACAAATTTAACATTAAAATCACTTTTAAACAACTAATCAACATGCAAAGTCAATATAAGATTTTTAAAATCTAGAACTTTAAATAAATACATCTTTTAAAGTAGACGATAAAATTGTGTAAATTAGGTATCTATGAGCTCTTTATGATGAGAGCTTTTACTTGATGGTAATTTTATTTGGTAATTTTGTTGGATATAGATAATGAAAGAGAAAATTATATTAAGAGTCACCAAAAATAATAAAAGTACTTTCACTTAGGCTTAAAAATATTTTTTATTCTCTCTTATTTCTTTATTTTGTCTATTTTTTTCTATATAAATAACTATTTGTAGTTATTTTTTAAACGCTGTAAAATTTTCCTTTCCGATTTTATTACAAGGGTTTCCATCTCGGTTATGATGTGACAGTGACCATGACTTAACATGCATCGGGGAGCCAAGGCATATGACCACTAAGGGAAACATTGTGCACCATGAATGGTTTTAGTTTTTAGCCATAATTGGGCCCTCGAAGATTGACCATGAATATGCCGGCCACTAGTTTCTCGACACTTCCTGCAGTCCAGCGGTGGTGCTGACAATAGGTGATCACATCTTTCCCACGGGCCATGTCTCTCGATTTCTTAAATGCTCCCATTACGGTTTTTGTCGAACAAAGGTGGTGACACGACGATCATGTCTTTCTCATGGGCCATGGCTCTCGATCTCTTAAATGTCCTGATTTACCATTACGTTTTTTAGGGATAATATTCAAACAAAAAAGATTAAATCGAGAGGTTAGGAGAATGTTCAAGAGGGATGCTCATCTATGTTCTAAACTCAACCATTTCTTTCAAGATACTCGACCTTAACCTGTTTTTATGTTGATCGTGTTTAGCTGATATTGAGTCCGAAGTGCTGTAGAAAAACATTATTGGACTTGCTCCAATTCAAAGCCCTGTTCAGGAGAAATGGGGGCAATCAATCTGCAACCAATCCAAGTTTCAGAAAGAGAGTCTAGGGGTTGAAAAGCTTCCTTTATTGTCATCTTCATTAACAAAACAACCAAAAAATTTGGTGTTTTTCATCTACCTCTCCTTGTATACCACTATTCTCTAAAGTAGAACAATATTTTTTTTTTATCAATTTAGTCATTTAATATTATGCTTATTTAAAATCAAACTTCTTATCATTATTCCTAAATTTCTATGGGACTATTATAGTTTTTTTTTAAACCCCAGAATTGAGATAGTTCTTGATTTTGCAAAACTCATTTTGATTTTTTTTTTTGAAAGATTGAAGTTAAAGGGTCAAGATTGAATAAGAAAAAAAAAAGTAGCCTTGCTATTAATTTGTTTTTAAAAAAACGACCACTGCATTTTTTTTTCTATATTTATTCTAGGGTTTTGTCAAAGTTCAATTTTGGTTTCTTTAGTTTGAAGATCAAACTTTTTGGTCCAATACTTTATTTTGTTACTATTTTGGTCCCTCATCTAAAAAAGAAGAAAGAGATTATATTTGAAAAACAGTGAAGCAGAGAGAAAATTCTTAGTTGACTAGGAATCCTACCATGAAAAAAATTATTCTATGTATCAATAGGTCCGTTTTAATGAGAAAAGTTTCATTAAGGTGTTAAAAAAGTTTCATTAAGGTGTTTTTTTACCTTCATCTTACTTGAAAAAATAGATTGAGTTTAGAAAAGTTTTTTTAAATTGCATTGGTTTTGCATTTTCAAACTAATTTTTTTGAAGTATAATGCCATAAATGAGTTTTTTAAAACCTCTTGAGTATCTTTAATAGTTTCCAGGTGAAAATTGCTTGGAAAATTAGTTTTTAGAGTCCTAAAAATTGGACCCCAATTTTTTAATCAACATTTTAGCAGTCAAAATTTAGATGTCATATGCTTTAATAACGAATATGTTGTTTATCTAAAAAACAATGAGATAGTGAACAGCATGTAATCTATCTTTGTATGAAAAAAATTGATCTAGATATGCAGGATTATGCAGGATTGGGTTTTTAGATACATGCATGTCTAGGCTAAGGTTTCTTACTAACCACGTAGACATAGCTTTTTTTCTTCTTCAATTTTTATTCAAACCCTCCTTGTTTATTTATTTTTTAGTTTTTTTTTAATTTTTTTATTTAAACTTTGAACCCTTCCTTTTCTTTTTTTAGATTGTTAAAGTTCAATTTAACCAAAAAAAATAATCTAAAAGGCATGGTTATTAAATGTGGAAAGGGTATATGGCCTAAGTCATGGGTTGAGCGAATTAACATGATTTGACCTATGTTTATTCAAAAATCATCATCTTAATATTAGTTTTATAATAAAGTGCTAGATTAATGTTATTTTAAATTTTTTAAAAGAAAAGGCGAATCGGGTTTTGACTTGTTTGACCGAGTAAGTTGTGCCATGGCTTAAGATTCAAATCCACCCAAAACACCGTCATTTTAGTATTTATATAAAAAAATAAAACAATAGCAAGTATAGTTCTTTTAGCTAAACCTAATTTTAATGGGGTTATGGTTGAATTCACCAAATTAACCAAGTCATATTAATTCAACTCTTATGTTATTTAATTTAAAACTCATGTTAAGAAATTGGGTCTTGCCTTCAGGATGGCCCACGTGATTTAATAATGAAGGGCCTTCAGGATGGCCCACGTGATTTAATAAGATGAAAAAAGTTTTAATTAGATAAATATCTTTCATATCCTTAATCCAAGATGTTTTTGATGTTAGTGGTGACTACTTTTGATTTTATTAAATGCATGACATGGGATAACAAAAATATTATCCTTTTTAATAAAGGTAATAGATATCGATAAAAGAAAGAGAGGTTATATTAGTAAATTATTTTATTTCAATGAAATTTAAATTATTTCTCTTATTATATATATAAAAAATATTGCTATGTAAAAAAATTAGTGTCTCCTTATGGAACAAGATCAATTGCTTGATCTGCATCTATCTCTTATATTTTTAAATTAATATTTGATTAAAAAAAAGGTGTTGTGATAATATTAATATTTATTGATGTATAAAAACCTTGGTTAATTTTATTAAACATATTCTTTAAGTTTTTAATTTACAATCATAAATTTTTTTACTACTAGAAAATGTGTTAATTATAGTTGTGTATTTTTTATGTTAAATTATTCTTTTTATCTAACTCCTGATAAATCATTGTTTAGAAAACTAGTAATTTACTAAACAGAAAAAAAAAAATGGAATATTAGAGTTTACACTTGATAGGAGGTAGGAGGTATATGTAGTCACTTTAATGTTAGTTTTTTTTACTTCCATTAGTTTGACTATTGAATATGGAAACAGAGTTGAGTGTTAACATTTAATTATTACTTTTATCCTAAAAAATACAAAAATTAGCTTTTGGGCCTAATTCGTGTTTAAAAGTAAAAAATTACTAGCAAGTCAGTTGCCCCTATATAATTAGACTTTTAGAACAATCTAAAAAGAATTTCGTCTCATTTAATGGTAGGATCAAGAGTTTTATGATTTCTGCTTATGAACGCTATATTTAATCTAGTATCTGCAATTAGGTTCTTTACAATGTTTCTAAAGCCCTCATAGTATTTTAGGTTGCCTTTACTCCATCGTTGGGTGAGTTGTTGCTATTGTCCCCGTCCATCAGAAAGATTAGGTGGTTATAATATCAATTAATTCAATATATAACACAATAAGATTCCTCAATTCTTAAAGTTCTACAGTTTTAAACTATAGATATAGAAACTAAAGTTATTACACTTAAAGTTATGACCCTTAACTATAGAGAAGATTAAAAGAAAACTCCGATATATTTATAAAAGCCTCTTTTTTTCATAAATTTATCTCGTTAAAAATTACCTACAAGGTTGTTTAAACACCCAAAAAAATAAAACAACATTAGAGTTAGCAAAAGAGAAAATTACCCTCATTATCCTATAATTTAGTTATTTTTATATGTATTTTTAGTGTTTTGAAAAATTACAATTTGCATCCTGCAAAATAGATTAAACTATATGATGATTTAGAATGCAAATTATTACTTGCACAACAAAGTTTAAGATGCAAAATATAATTTTCAAAAACATGGTGGGTAAGCAAACAACACTAAATTATAGGATGATCAAGGTAATTCTTCCTTAATAAAATTCTATCGGAGTTTTAATCAAGGTAATTCTTCCTTAATAAAATTCTAATTAAATCGGAAGTTTTAATCTAAATCGAAAAAAAATCCAAAAACAACAATGAAAAAAAAATAAAAAAGTTTTGAAACAATAACTTACAAGCCTAATTTGGTCTTAAAAACAAAAAGTTATGGTTGAATGTTTTCATCAAAATACAGGTTAGACTTGTTTGAAATTTTTCAAAACTTAAAAAATCTTAATAATTAAAAAAAATAATACAATAAAAATAATTACACCCATAATAATAATAATAATAAAACTCCCAAGCCATACTAAACCTATTTATAACATACAATCAAACACAAACCAAGTTTTTGTTCAGACATAACTCACATCAAATAGGGCAGTCCAACTACCATAAACAAAGGATTTTTTTTCCCTCTTATATTTTTGATAGGACCCATGAGATAGTTTTAACATTTAACCGACCATAGGCCCACTAGAGGCAGGGCCTCTGCATTCGAATTTACTTGCAACCACTCAGCCCAGCCTAGCAATGTTCTCCACAAGCGGTGCAATTCATGGGAGGCCGTACTTGAGCCTGGAACTGCATCAATAACCCTGACTACTTGCCACCGCAGATTTACAAAAATGTTCTCATGAAGAGCCATCATCTCTAATTAGTCCACTATCTAGAACAGTGCAAAGGAAAGGCTGCTAGAAAAGCCTTGCCTTTAAAGCATTATAAACACCATGCCTTCAAGACAAAAATACCCTGCGAGTCTCACATTTTGTCCCATTGCATCATAGTTCAAGGATTCATGCCATGATATGGCAATGTAGCTTTGCTAAAAGCTGATGTTAAACAAACCGGCACCGCGAGCCGGATCGTTGCATGCCTCAGCAGACTGCAAAACAGCCGGGGACAAAATAATCCAAACGAAACTCGAGCATGAAAATTTCCACGCTGTAAAGACGAATATTACATTTCCATGCGCAAAATATTTACAAGACATGTACCCCAATCCCCAGCCCTACATGAAAATACCAAAAAATGTACAAACTCTAGCCCTATGGTTTTAACTTCCATCACTAATTGGAACCCAGTCAACGTCTATTTTTGTGTCTCCTTAGGTAGTTAGCTCTAAAAAACCGAGCTATTAATTAGCCAGTGCCTCCTTTGTCTCCAACTTAAAGCATCCTCCAGTGCCCAAAAACTAAAACAGAGTACTATAACCGCAAACAAACAAACAACAACAATAGCAACAAAGGTAAAAGGGAAAAAGAAAATGAAGGAAGGGAAGTCGAATGGTTCAGTTTTCTGCTGAGTCCGAGCTTAATACAGTTCCTTCACCTTCTAGGGGTAACATGGGAAGCTTGCTTCCTGGACTCATTTTTTTCACATCCTGACTTGAGCAAATAAAGATTCTTCTCACCATGTTACAGAACTCACTGCATCAAATACAGCCAACCAATAAGTATATCATATTCTGCATCAGGTAAAAGAATCATCTGTGAAGTTATGATGAAAATTTTCCAAAGTAATTAAAATCAAAAAACTTACGGCCATGGATCATCACCGACAAGCATCATATCTCCTTCATCATCAGTATAAACAATTTCCCACTTATCCCGGGGGTGCAGCTGTCCCTTAATGTCAAATAACTGCTCCAGCTCATCTATAAGCTGACCATATCCCTTAATCAAGGTCAAGTCCACGGCCCGACCAACAGCAATCCCCTGCAGTTGAACCTATTGGCAAATTCAACACCACACAAAAAACTTCTTTCAGAAACCTGCTGAAGAGTGCAAAACATGTTTTAATTAAACATGGAGTTCTTATTTTCAGTACCTTTGTGCGACTTCTAGTGGAAGTAGAACTTTGCTTGCTCTGAATTTCTTTTGATGATATATGTAACTGTTCTGGTTTCTTTTCCTTGGATACTTCATGTTTTCGGTCTGAATCAACTGCAGGCAGGGCAGCTAGGACACGTCCATCAGTGGCGGCACTGGATACACTGATTGGTTGTGCAGACACTTTTTCAATAGGAGATGAGTTTGTAGACTGATTTACAAGATCAAAGCCAAATAATCGATAACTAGTAGGCACCTTATATTTCCTCCCCTCCTCAGACGGGTCAAGGATAGGGTCATTTTTTGACTTGGATGAAAGGGGAGTGGAATAGCCTACAAATACAGGCCAAGGGGAGACACTTTTGCTATCCTCCATGGCTTCCTGAAACAGATGCTGAGAAACATTCACATGAGGAGAAGATAGCCAGCCCCCTTCACCCTGAGTCCTTGTCATTGAGTTGCTATGGCCATTAATATCAGTCTGCTTTTGATGCCACATCACATGATTTTCATTTCTTTTGCCTTCACCAGTAACACTCGGTTGAGTTAAATCACAGGATTGTGCCAATCCAGAATTCCAAGGGGTTGATGCAGTTGAAGATAAATCTATAATAGTGGGGAACCAATAACAACAATGAGAGATTGCAATGACCAAATCATTCAGTACTCAAAAGATAAAAAGAGGAACCAAAACTATTATTTACCAAAAGCAGGAATTTCAATCGGAGGCCGGGGCCTTTTATTTTTTGGTTGAACTGGTTGAGGCAGGTTGGCTGGTACTTGAGCCACACAGGGTTCTATCTCCCATGGTGAAACCCTATCAGGTCTTGAAATAGAAGCAGGTTCATCCCATTGAACCTGGTAAAGAGACAGTGACATTAATTAATTTCACACTTACAGTTTCAAATAAAGGAAATAGTGTCCAGCTAAAAAGACATTACTTTCAATGACCGCCATTTAGAATCATTCCAATAAGGAGAAAAATCTTCAACCCCAACAATTGTGCCCGAAAACCTGACCAATCAATAAACTCAGAATTTTAAGTCACTACAAACTTCTATTTTGCACTTACAGTAGAGCTCCAACTTTAAAAAGAAATGATTGAAGCAACCATGTACTGTAATTCTCCCACCTTCTCTCAGGAGAATCCTCGCCTTCAAACCTCATCTTGAATCTCATGCCAACTGCAAACTTATTGTTAACAGCCTCTAAATATTTGTTCAAGCTAATGATGAACTGGCTTGTCCTGATAAGTTAAATTGAAGAAAGAAAGGCATAAATAATCTATGGAAAAGTTCAAGCAATCTGACATATTCAGCAGGAATGTCTCGATAAGAGAAGCATGAGAAGGCATGAGTCTCTGGTGAAAGATGTACCATACCTTGGCTTATAATAAACCACAAAGAGAGTTAAGGTTGAAATGGCATGGGATGCTGTTGCAAGAACTCCAAGGTGCATGCTCTGACTGGAAATCACAGATGACGGCATGCTGCTCTGTTGGCGAGCAACACGCCTCACTCCAACACGCAATTCACCATTCTCTCCTCTAGACAACCAATTCTTATATGAATGAACTTTCCATCATTTTATTTTATAGAGGACAAGAAACCAACATCTTAGAAGAAAATGAATACCTGAGGAAGACAAACGAATCCCCAGCAACTAATCTCTTGGAAGTGACAAATGTACTCCAACCTGTGGTGAGTAAGTGCCTCCTTGGTTGACCTGTTTATTTGACCGAATGTGAGTGATGATCTGCTATATCAATTCTAACTAATTACTTGAAGTCTAACTACTACTAGGCATAGCCAATGAGAAATGAAAAATCTCTCTGAACTCAAGAATAAAACATCAACATCGCAATGATAGACAGAAAGCACATAGAAATCCTTTACCTCTGAAAATATGCTTAAATCGCCATTCATAACCATGTAGATCCTTGGCAACCAGTTCCTGAGTTGGGGTTTGCTGGATCATATCCTTTAAAACATATCCGCGATGGTAAAGTTAATATATGATCAGAAGGAAGAAACGAAGACTAGAACTGCACACACAAATTACCAGTGGAGGAAGGCATTCAGAGGCATGTTTACGAAGAACAGAAAATCCACCATGGGTGCTCGTATCAGAGGCAGTTAAAACCTTGCAGAAAGAGTGAACTGTAGGTCTTGGAGGCTCAGATGGACATGGATCAGGACTTGTAGTTTCAATTTGCTACAGTATTTCAACAATATTTAAAGCCATTGAAGTTAAATCAAACAAATGATTGTCAACATATCTGCTAAATAAACACTAAAACTGTAGAAGTCAGAAAGAAAACTAATTCGTTCTTACATCAGATTCAGGCAGTAAAGTAATCTGCGCATAAACATCATCTGTTTCTTGTTCCGCCTGTACAGATAGAAAGAAATCAACAAAAAGTTCTCAAATCAACCGTTTCGACCATTAAAATTTAGCAGTTCATTCAGTCACCAAGAAAATACACAAACAAGGATGACTAAGACCTAACTCGAACAAGCCTTACATATAAAGTATTGAGTTTAGCAAAATAATATGATCAATTTCATGAAAACTCAATTAAATCGATCAATACTCAACTGAAGCAACCAAGCAAAAAAAAATTAAAACAAATAGAAACTGCAGAAAGGAAATTAAGATCAGAGAGCGAGAAATACCAACAGCTGAGTATTAATAACACGACAGAGAATCTTCGAAGGCAGATTAAACAAAGGAACCCTCTGGTTCAATTCTTGATTTGTCGATGCCTCTAACTACACAAGCTCAAAAATAGCAAAATTTCAAATCTTTAACCAGATATAGCACAAACCCACAAGCGAAAACCAATCCAAGACTCAAACTTCCCAATTAAACCACACCCATTCACTCCATCACTCACTTACTAGACGGAAAAAAATTCAAAATCCAATCTTTACCTGTTCCATATGACCCTGAGGAAAATAGAACACTCTTTCTCCACGCTTGGGAACATCCACAAGTGGACCTGCACATGCCTTCCATAATTCCGTATACAGATCATCCTCTCCACAACCTGAAAACAAAAAGAAAAGTTAGTTTTCGCAGGAAACGAACAAAAAAATAAAGCCATTTAACACTTCACCTTCGCTATTCGCCTGTGAAAACGACCCTCCTCCTCCTCCTCCTCTATTCATAGCCATCATTTTTTAAAACCCACCAAGCAGCAGCCAAAGTCAACAGAAAAAAACCCTCCAAAAAATAAATTCAAACCCTCAAAATAACTTCCTTTACAAACCTTAATTAACTCTCATTATCTACACTTAATCACAACAATTAAATCCCTCGGTAATTGCAACAATTACTTCCCTTAAAAGATCCGTTAAAAAACCAGCGAAATGTCCCCAGCTTCCACTTATTTCACACTTGAGAGATCCAAGAACCTGTAAAGCAAAAAAAAACTTTCAAACCGTCACAAAACCACCTTCTTCTTCTTCTTAATAGCTTGAAAAAACACCCCACAAACTCTAGCTCTGTCCTCACTTTATGTCTGTTTTCTCTCACTAAAAGCAGCTGTTTTTTGGTTTTGTTCTCTCTTTCTATTTGTCTCTCCTCGGACAATAAAAACGCCGTTACACACACAAAATCTGCTTTGCGCGCTTCTTATATTACGCAACTTTGGGTTGCTTTGACTCTTTCCTATTTGTCGCTGTTTGTTTTGTAACGCTCGCCAACCTAACCCTAGTTAAGAGGTTTAACTTGAGAGAGTTATTAGATGGATGCCGTTAACGAGCATGATGATTTTGCCGTTACTTAACGGATGCCCGGTAGTTTTCTTTTTTTCAAGAAAAATAATTTTTTTGGGTTACTAACTTGTCGATCCACATGGGACGAGGACTTGCAAATTTACGTGTTTGACTTTTTAGAAAGTAATTTTAAAAAAATTATTTATTAAATTATTTTATATTTATTAATTATTAAAAAAATTAGTTAATAAAAAATATTTTTCAATTAAAAGAAAATCTGATTTGGTTTTTAAAGAAGTGTTTTTTTAAAAAATTTAGATAGAAAATACTTTTTAGAAATTATAAAAAAATTAAAAATATCATAGTATTTGTTGATTATATTAAATTTGGTCATTAAATTTTGTATTACTATATATATTTTGTTTTGAATATTTATTTTTTAATTTTATCTCTTAAAATTTAATTTTATATTAATTTTGGTCTTTATTTTTATAATTGTTATTTGCTTTTTCTTTATCATTTTTTTATTAAAATTTTTTATTTATCTAACTTTATTTTTATTCTTTTGATTGTTACTTATTTTATTTGAAATAATTTATAAAATTATAATTATAATTATTTTAATTTTATTATCTTTTTTTTTAATTTTATCTCTTAAAATTTAATTTTATATTAATTTTGATCTTTATTTTTATAATTGTTATTTGCTTTTTCTTTATCACTTTTTTATTGAAATTTTTTATTTATCGAACTTTATTTTTATTCTTTTGATTGTTACTTATTTTATTTAAAATAATTTATGAAATGTTAATTATTATTATTTTAATTTTTTAATTTTTAATTTTTTTAAGATTTGATTTCTATTATTTTGATTATTATTTATTTTATTTGAGATGATTTATAAAATTATATTTTTTTTAATTTTATTCTCCTTCAACTTTTTAATTTGTAAAATTTATTCATCGTTATTTTAATAAATTTGAGAAAAGTAAAGCATTAATAAGTTATTTTCCAGCTTATTTTCTATGACATAACCAAATAGTAGAAAATATTTTCCAACTTATTTTTCATTATTACACTATCAAACATCAACAAATAATTCACTTTTCTGAAATTCACTTAAAAAAACTACTTTCCATTAAATAAACAGGACTTTAAAAATGAGCTGTTGTTTTTAAAGGAATTTAATGTGTGCTTTGCACGACTCTAGCTATTTTTGTTGTTATTTATCTTTTAAAGGTTTTTTTATTTTAAAAAAATTATTAAATTTATTTTTTTAATGTATTTTTTTAAAATTTGATATGTTAATGTAATACATAAAAAAATCTAAAAAAATTCTTTAATATATTTTTAAAACAAAAAATTATTTTAAAAAATATTATATATCACAATACCAGATGTCCCTAATTATCCAAATTGTTCATGAAAATTATAATAAACTAATTCTAATGATCATGTTGCATGTTATTAAAAAAAATGCAAGGCAAAATTAGGTATTAAATTTTGCACCACTTTGTTATTTCATTTAAAAATATTATATTGACTGAGAGAATCTTATGATAATTAAATTGTAACTACTAAATATTTACAGCACAGGAGAAAGATAAACACAAAAAAAGAGGTTATATATACTTTTACGGAAAAAAAATGATAAGAATTTTCTCATGTTAAAAACTTATTCATTTTTACCTTTTTTTATGCTTTTCTTTTCTTCATGCGGTTTAAACACTATAGAAATTCTCAATTAATTAATTTAAGAACAACTACAAACTATGTATATGCACACACGCAGATGCATGCTTGTATTTGCTATAATATCTATCCCGTTTGCTCTTCTTGGAGCATAAATGGTAAATTAAATAATGTTTTTTTTTCTTTTCCATCATTTTATCAAAACTAAAGCCAATCAATGCCTCTTATTTTCTTTATTTACTCTCTCTGATTATCATTAAATCGTCATCATTGTTAACTGTAATGTTGGTGAATAGATAAAGACTGGTAATAATTAGAATTTGTTTGTTTAAAGATTTCATTTATATCTCATTAGGATGGAGGTCAATTGAATATGAGAGGATATTTGGGTTTTTTTTTTTTTTTTGTAATTGAAGATGGTACTGGTGGTTTGATAATTTTTTAAGATATATATTGATGATTGAATCATATTTCATGATATACACGGTCAAAGAGATTTATTTCGAAAGACTATTTAATAGTGAAAGTAATTTAACAAAATCAATAATTTATAGGTAAATTGGAATAAACCCCCCCCTGTTCTTTTGTGCTCCATAAGAACAATTTTTGTGCCCGTCTCGGGCCCTCGCTTCATTGACGCCGAAAATCATACGAGTCATGGTGTTGCCGAGAAATGAACTTCTCGGGCCCTCTAGTCATGGTGTTGCCAATACTTTATATATGCATATATATATATATATATGTTTTTTAATGGGAGTTATTTCAAAATGATGTGTTTGATTGTACGGACACTCTATTGGGATGCGTGTGTTTGGGGTAACGGAGATCTGGAACTGACGTTACCGATGTTTAGCCGTCTCTGTCGTTGTCTGCTACGAAGCAGGCAACGACATGGTTGTCTTGGGTTAACCGGGCAGAATTTTGGGGTTTTTTAGTTTTTATCCTTATTATATTTTGACCTTAAATATATAATTGTTTTACGTGGTTTGCCATTCCGAAGCGAGTGACTGTCGTCTGTGTTAAAATAAGACCAGAGACAACCAAGCGACACGTTACCTCGGAGGTTGAGTGAAGAAATTTACTGACGTGTCATGACAGGGACCATAAAAACCGTCCGCTGATTGCCGGCAAGGCCTTTGGAAAAAGTCCACGAACCCCTCACATCCCACGTGGCAAGGTAAATTTGTTTTTATAATGTTTTTTAAATATATTAAAATAATTTTATTTATTTATGTTTGATATCAAAGCATCAAAATAATTTTATCTTTAATGCTAAATAGTAAAATTTGCATAAATATCATCAGGCGAGGGTGGAATTAAAAATCCTGAATGAACATGCTATCATCAAAGCTAAGTCAATGCCTTAATCATTAATTCACATTTCCTTATGTCCTGATGAATAACACAAACAACAAATTTATTAGGTTTTTTTTTATAATATTTTAAAAATATTTAAGTTTTTTTACTTTAAATTAATATTTTTTTGATATTTTTAAATCATTTTAATGTATTAATATCAAAAATAATATTTTAAAAATAAAAAATAATATTTTAATATTTTTAATAAAAAATAATTTCAAAAATAACCATAATTATATTTTTAAACATACTGTTACTTAAACCAGCACACCGGGATCTTAATACTAAATAATTATAATAACCAGACTAGCTAGCAATCTTCTCCAAGTTGAATTTCATCAATAATAGCTCGAGTTTTAGTTGAAATAGGCTTCCACGCATTCAAGAGATTACACTATTTGTTCACCATTATCTAATTTACTGTAAAGAGTAATGGATGCGATCATCACATCTCCATTATTGATGAATGATTGTGCACACAAAATGTCTCTCTTCTCAAATAATTATCATGAATTCACATACATTTATGTTTTTTTATTTTTATTTTTAAGAAATAGTATTCGTCAAAGTGTCTGGTGTGCTTTTCTCAAGTGATAAAGAGCACTCCCACAAGGAGATGAATTGACCAATTTACGAAATTATATAATTAAATTTCCTTTCTCAAGCTGCTTCCACCTCTTTCTTGGAAGGAGATTGGAAAGGGAGGGGGGGTGGGGGATTGCTTAAACCTTACTTTTAGTCTAATTAATTAATGAATTATAATTTGTTTATTTTCCAGCTTTTGAAGCTTTAGCACAAAGAGCGACCATTGTTCTCCGAAGCATAATCTATCCAGAGATGCCTTCCACGTACGTCCACCTATCTGCGACCTTGTCCCTTCTTAGATTCTGGTTGAATGAGAAATTATGTATGGAGTAGGTTTTGATTGCATAAAACAAAGAGTTATGCATGTCTATGTAAAGTAAAACAATTTATTTTCAAATTAAAAAGGTGAAGAAAAGGAACGGCAATACAAAACCTGCTAGAGTTACACACATAAAATTACCAAGGTATTAAGGAAATACATGCAACAGGCCAAAATCTTTCGACAAACCATGTTTAGACGTATTTGTTTGTTTATTGAGAGGAACGCATGACTTCACTTGACCACAAAGTGAGATAGGAAATCGAAGCAACGCCTTTGAGTGATAGACTAGACAGCTAATCTCTGCTACGGCGTGTGCCTGTTTAGAATTTTTTAAGATAAAAAATTAATATTCAAATGATAATGATTTAAGCTAAATTAGATTAAATTTATTAAATCACGACTTATCATATAAAATCAAAATAACTTATAAAAAAATAAAGTCGTAAGGTTGAAGACTTAACAACTAACTTGATAAACTCATAACCTATAATATGAGATGAAGATTGAAAAAATCAAAAGAAACATCTAGCAAACAAAACAAAGTTCAACACAAAGTACTTCAAAATAATCTCGATCTAACCAGAGTTAATTTTACCATCCTGCATTCAAGATAATCCATCATGTGAGCATTTGTTTTTAAATAATATTTAACAAAACATGCTCAAATGGTCAATAATTCAATTGCAAAAGATAAAATAAAGAAATTATAAAAAATAACTTAAGTTAATTCAATTAATTTTTAACATGAGATATGAGGTAGGGATAACCTAACAAAAATAAAAACAAAACAAATCAAGAAGCCTAAGGCCCAATGATTCAATATCAAATGATAAAAATTAAAAAATAAATTAAAAAGACCCTAAAAAAGATTGAAATAAAACCGGGTTTATCATTAAAACTAGTGGACTAAATTACGAGATTAAGATTACTTTGTAAAAGACAAACATGAAAAAACTATAAAAAAAATTTCAAACCAT